ACTGATGGATGAGCGTTTGAAACAGTGAGACATTAGAAATGCAGGGTTACTTTGGGCAGGTGGTCAGAGGTCACAGCTCGGGTCAGACTCTTGTTGTGGACCAGCGACACCACCTGCAGCAGATCCAAACAGACAGAGTGAAACGAGGTGAGAGCAGAGGCTGACGTAGAACTGAAATGAAAACACACTCACTCTGGAGACCGGACTCTTCAGTTCTGGTAAGGAGCCACAGCCGTTGACGATCTGAATGGCAGAAGGCCGAGTGACCCTACAGCTGCCGTTTTGGACCACGCCGGGAACATGGACCACTGTTAGAGCACCGCTCTCTTTTTTCTCAGGGTCTCTGGGGGACGGAGAGACGGGACCAGGATCTGAGGAGGACTCTTTGGAGACCTGCTGAGCCACTGCTATTCTCTTGGCTTCTGATTTCACCTTCATCATCCTCATGATGGGAGTTTTACTGATGCTGATCTCAGAGCCCCTCGACGGCGCCGCCCTGGTGACCAGGTTCTGTTCCACCACGGCTCTCCCGTCCTTTTTCTTCAGCTGTAGCGCTGTGTCACACGTGCTCGGGTGGACCCTGGCGTTGTGCAGCGCCAGACCCTCGAACTTGAGCACGGACACCCCGCAGCCGACACAGGAGAAGCGGGGGTCGGAACAGAAGTCCGGGTGTCCGCTGTAGACGTGGTCCAAGAACAGGTTCAGGTCCTGGGTTTCAAAGTTGCACAGCCGGCAGGTGTAGGTGCCAGCACCGTCCGCACCCTCTGGTCTGGAAGACTCCCCAGGGTCTACGGGGCTGCGGGGGCCCCTCCCAGAAACCGCGGGCTGGGGGGGGGTGTCAGAGTCTGTTCCGTGTTCCTCCGAAGAACACAGGACTTTACTTGGTATCATGCAGGGAACGCTGGACTTCCTCTTACTGGCCATGGTGCGGGGGGGAGGGAGGGTGAAGGAGAGCGGACTACAGAGCGGGCGAAGAGTCAGGGTGACAGGGGGGGAGGTTGTCCATAGATGGAGACAGTCTTCAATAACCTGAAAGTCAGAGAGAGGGGGAGAGGGGGGAGGGGGGTGAGTTCAGCTGACAGTCCAAAGAAAAGAACCGGGTCAGGAATTCTCCCTGAACTCACTACTGGACGGTTTCGGTACTACACACAGGTTTTATTCCTCAGTGCTGCCTCCTGGTGGTGGTCTTTGAATCCTTCACCTTACCCAGTGTGAAGGGTTAACAGCAACATGAAGTTCACCAATGAGAAAGGAATGCGACCCCCTCCACCCCCACACCCCCACAACACAGACACACTGGCTCCCTCCACACGGCTCAGGGCCAAAGCTCTGCCCATATGGACTGGTCACATGACCAAAGGTCACATGACCGTCACAAAGACTCATGGGAGGGCAGCCGCGGCCATCCATCACTTTGTGTGAGAGTGGGAAACCAAGAGGGAAGGGGAAGGAAAAGGTTTCCTCACCCTCTGTTTCCCCTCCCTTTCCCTCTTCTAACAAGTTTTGGCCCAGGGAGACGGCTGGCAGCGCCACGGATGTGTTATTGTCCCCATGGCAACCACCTCCTACCTCACCCCTAACTCCCCATCCTGACTCCCCTCTCCTCCCTCCGCCTTTATCTAAAGTATTCATGTGGTTTAAACTGTGCACACGCACGCACGCACGCACGCACGCACCTAGCTGATGTTGGTTGGTGTTAGGGGCGGCCCCTCCCTGCTCCTGTCACACCCCCCTCCTCACCCCCACAGAGGTCTCACATCGAGGTGGGGTCGGCATCGTTAAGGCACACTATTGGCTGGAGTTGATGCCGTCTCTCCCTGGTTACCAAGTCCCCCTCCTCCCCCTCCCCCCAAGACCTGTCTCTTTAACTCTAACCTCCCCCGTCCCTCACCCCTGACCATCTGTGGTCATAACTGAATACTGGTTGAATTTAAACCTCAGCTGTCAATCAAATCCGGGCACCATCCCATCATCAACACCTCTGTCACGGTGTTCCTACACCGTCTCACCCCAGGTCAGAGACTCCACCCTCTGAGCAACTGCAAAGACCATGTGTTAACACTGGAGGTGGAGGGGGAGGCAGACAGAGAGTAATGGAGGAACACTGTCCAAACTAAAATGGCCGACATCACAGACTACTGCTGCTGCCACGGACACGGAGCGGCTCTGACTGGACAGCAGGAGTCACTCACCTCGGCCAATCACTGATCATCTTTTAACAAAGGTGGATCAAACTTTGACTGAAGAAATGAAACAACAACGTTAATAAGAAGAAGAAGAATCAACACCAACATTTACTACAGAGTACTACAGTCAAACAGGTACTAGACTGAGTACTACAGTCTACTGAGTACCAGTGATTCTGAAGTTTTCTGACAACTGGATCAATAACACACACCCTCATCATCAGTACAGAAAGATGTGGCCACAGAAACTAGTTCAACTGAGGTCAAAGGTCACAGATAAGACTAGTGTGAACAATGTTGTGAATGAGTGAGTTCAACTGATGACTTTTTTTAAAGCTCTATTTCTCCCCCTCCCTCCCTCCCTCCCTCCCTCAGCTCCAGTCACGTGACTACCTCTGTTAAACACTTTTCTTCGACTCATTTCTTTCAACTCCATCAACTCAGAGCTGCAGTAACAGACTGTACACCTCCCACCTCCCCCTTGACTCCCCCCACTGGCTGTCGCCATTTTAAAGCAGGCGACATGCAGCTGCTGCCGGGCTAAGGCGCAGTACAGTCCGCAGAGAGGAGCCGAGGGTCCGGAGTGGAGGAGGAAGAGGAGGAGGTGAAGGAGGAGAACTTTATGAAAAGACAACACAACCTCCTTCACTTGTGTCTGGAAAAACAAAGACTCACCTCAGCGGAAAGTTTCCAACTGCTGCTCCAGCTCAGACCTGTCGGAGGTGGGGGCTTGATGGGAACTGGTAGGTGTGCCCCCCCCCCCCCCCCCGTCTGTCCGCTGCTGGGTTAGAACCGTAGACTGGAAGAGGAGCGATCACACCGCGGTTTTACCGCTGCTCTCGGCGCTTGTTTTTGTGCCGTGACGGTCGAAGCCCAGGCTTTCACACAGCAGCAGCACAGGGAGGAAGATACGACAGACGTACGGAGGGAAGAACTGGACACGTGACTCATACGTCACTGGCGGTTGCGTTGGCGTGAGAGCCGGAGCAGAGATCTCCTAGGTCCGATGTAGAGAGAGGCTGGACGGGCTCTGAGCAGGAGAACCGCCGCGGGTTCTGTTAGAAAAGACAAACGGTTGGATGTTCAGGTAAACATGAGGACACAATCACCGACACCTGTGACCCCCCCCCGCCCCCCAGGTGACCTCTTTTAAAGAGACAGTGCAGACATCACGTCACGATGATGTCAGTCAGTCGCGGTGAAACATAAATGTAAAGATTTTTCAAATTCCGCCACTGACTGTGTTGTAGTAACGACGTGAACAACAGACGTGAACAACAGACGTGAACTCTGGCGGAGGTCTGAGTTGATCAGACAGACAGTAGAGATCAGAACTCCCACAGTATAAAATAAAGTGTTTTTCACTGTGAAAGAACCAACAGTAAAATATTAAACGAGGTTCTGCTCAGGCCGCTGACCCAGGTAGTTAAATGACCAGAAATCAAGTTTCTCTGCTGAGGGTAAAAGAGCCAATGAGGAGACAGAAGAAGAAAGCTACATTTAACAGACAATTCCAGGACTCCTACTGGAAACATGGAGTTATTACAACAGGGTTATTACGCGGCGAGCGGCCCTCTGATGAGGCCATGGAGCCTTCAAAACTGCTCCACCACGTCTGCATTAAAAGACAAGAGCGATGTTAGGAGGACGCGGCTACCACAGTTGACCACACGGTGGATTAGCGTTGGTTAACCTTACAGGTCGGTCTACAGGACTGCAGGAGTCTGAGGAGGTACAGATCCAGGAGTTGGACACCAACATGTCTTTGTTCGGTGTTGACCTTTGACCCAGTTTTTTATTGAACCCTGAAAAATGAATCAGTTTAAATCTGATCATTTTTTTCAGATCAACAGGTTCTGACCTACAACCATCTGGGTTTCACTCATTTTCTTAGAGCAGACAAAGAAGCAGGTCGTGACCTGGTGTCAAAGGTCATCCAGAGAAGCAGTTCTCAGATGGAGACTCCACTGAAGAAGAAGCAGACATTTATATAAATGTATGTCACATATATAAATATAACTGTACAGTGTGTGTGTGTGTGTGATGAAGAACCAGGACGACGTCACGTGTTAGTATTTTATTGACTTTCAGGCTTAAATATGTTTAATATAAAAGGCTAAATTTAAATGACTTTTCCTGGCTGTGGTTGAGGCACATGACAGGAAGTCGGCTGTAAATGACAGGAAGTCGACTGTAAATGACAGCAGTCAGTAAGAAACCACACTACAGCCACACTGGTCCTCAGTCCTTATGTTTGACTTCAACTCCTTTAACCTTGTTGTCTTGCCATCATTCACTAGTCCAAGTCAAGGAGTGATGGTCCACACATGGTCCACACATGGTCTGACAGGTCAGACCAACAGGAGTGACGGGGGGGGTGGGGGGGGCTTTAATATGATGTAGAAAGACAGGCACATTACAGTGTCAGCACTGATGCTGTAACAGAAGGTAAGAACAAAAACACTTGGTGACATCAGCTACAGGACAAGGGGGAGAGTAAGGTCAAAGGTCGGGGTCATGACAGAAACCTTTCACACTCATCCCTGTATTTACCTTAAAGACAAAACTCTATGGCTTGGCTCGAGTCCCAGTGTCTCAACACTGACCCACAATACTGAGTTGACATCTCTCACACACACACACACACACACACACACACACACTCAAATATATAACAATGATTAAAAAATATTCACAGCAATAATTACATGGCTGCTTAAGAACGACAGACCTTTGACCTCAGGCACCTTTAATACGAGTCGGGGGGGGACTGAGGGTTAGGGTCTAACACACACACACACACACTTAAGGGTAAACACACTGACAAACGTCTTTGGTCCAACGAGGTGTCGTGTGTCCAGCAGAGGGCGGTAGAATGATATTTAAAATGAAATAAATGACAGTGGACTGTGTTGAGCAGGAGAAACGTCTGGGGGGTTTGGGGAGGGGGGGTCACATGACCAATGTTTACAGGTTTAAATAATTAGAATAATTAAAATCATGGCCAGAAATAAATTAATGACTGTCATTTTCACAGCTCTCTCTCTCTCTCTCTCTCTCGTTCTCCCTCCCTCCCCACTCTCTCCTGCTGTTTGTGCCTAAAACACATCAAAGACCCCCCCCC